TACATTGAATGATGAGAGGTTTCGTCTCTCTATATATATTAAACCTACACCTGGGTCACAAGTCCCAGTCACTGTTGAAGCTCCTCTCACTACAACGATGGACCCGACACACGCACCGTGAATACGTGGAATGATGAGAGGTTTCGTCTGTTTCATCAATTTAAAATCAGACACTAGTTTTTCGTTTTATAACAAAATTACAAACTACTACCATATATATTAAAATATTTTTTTTTATATAATCTTAAATATATTTGTTGGGGAACCCTAAAATAATTTAGAAGCTTATCTCAATAGGGATAATCCGTTACGCGAATGGATCGTGACTTAATTCTGTCAGTTTGTTCCACATTTTTATATAACATTAATATTATTCAATTTTTTATTTCGTTATAATAAAATTGTCACCTTTTATTATATAACAGAAGTTAACTGGAACTTTGACCTTTGACTTATATTTTTGAGTACTAAATTAAAGTTTAAACTAAAATCGAATCTATCATATTCGGAATATAGTTCCATTTGCTTTACCAACCAATCTATAGTGAGCTGACTTTAAAATTTTCTATTCAATCATTGAATATTAATTAAATTAACATATCATGATAATAAAAAAAGAGGCAGATCCTGGCTATAGCCGGAAAATTGCCAGATAGAAGTAGATAATAAAAATAATACGCGAAATTATAAGTTGATCTGAACAATTACTATTTTTTATACACAGACAGACAGACAGATATATATATATATATATATATATATATATATATATATATATATATATATACATATATAAACAAAGACTGTTTTTATTTTAGCGAAGAAAAACTCGTTATAATTGGACAAAGTTTCAAGAGCGTCTAGTATTGTTTTGCACAAATTAAATTTCCAAAAATTAATCATTATTAACCAACTAGTTTTACTATAATCAGTACAGCCTTTTCATAAATTAAAACATCGTAATTTCAACATTCCAAATTAGTTCACTTCTATAAATCATTACCAAAACAATCAAAGTTTTTTTTAATTCGTAAAACTCTCAAAACAAAAGTCTCTTTGAAAATCTTAGGCTTAATTGGTATGTGAGTTAATAACTTCTGAGCGTACAATTTCGTTTGGAAGACAAGAAAATACCTTAAATTATTAATAATGTTCTTAATGTGTGGAGTAAATGAGTTCTCACGGCGGGAAAATTAGGATACTTCTTTGTTATGCCATCTCGCTTTAACGTTTGAGTTGAAAAGAGATAGAATACTTTGATAATTTTAATGAATGTCAAGTACTTACTTAAGAAAATTATTAATGACACGAACATTTTTTTTATTTCACATAAATGATACTGGCAAAGGTTTTGTACATTCTGCCAATATAAATACCTTTTAAAGTATTTATTTATAATATATATTATTTATTTTAATATGATAAATATTGTAAATAAAATATTATTTTTCTCGAATTGCTGTGATTACAAAACGTATTGTACAGCTACAATAAAAGACGCTTTGGTCGCCATCATAACCATTTCAAAATACCCTACCGTAACGACTGATTGTGTTGTTCGTTTATTATTATATAAAATAAGTGTTTTATTAAAATATATATATAATATGTAAGTATTAATTTTAAATACATCGTAGTTTATTTTGACTTTCTTCTTTTGGTACTAGTTATGTTTGAATGTACAAAAAAGATCGTTATCTTCTTCTTCTTCTTCTACCTGGCCATTTCCCAGCTTTAGCCAGGGTCTGCCTTACATGTTGTGAATAGTTTTTGGCTATTTGTTTTTACGACCGGCCGCCTGCCTGATATCAACCCTCTTTTGGGAATCAACATTAATCAGAGATGTCTAAATACTCTTAGAAAGTACATATGTAAATCACATTGGTACTTGCTCGGGCCAGGATCGAACCCGCGCCCTCGGCGACGAGAGGCGGTTATAAAAAGATCGTTATCTATTCATGGTTAAATATTTTTCAGAATTAATTATAATTGAACTTATGATTATATTGAGTTCAATTACAGTAGTAGTATAAAGTATAGTAGTAATAGTTTAAAGTCAGTGTTGGCCTAGTGGTTAAAAGGCTAACCTCTCATGCACGAGGGCATGGCTTCGATCCTGGCAAGTACCAATGTGATGTTCCCGAGTCATATGTACTTTCTAAGAGTATTTAGACATCACTGATTAATGCATTCCCAAAAGAGGTTTGATGTCAGGCAGACGGCCGGTCGTAAAAACAATTAGCCAAAACTATTCACAACATGTAAGGCAGACTCTGGCTATAGCTGGGAAATTGCCAAGTAGTAGTAGTATAGTAGTATTATTAAAATAAATTATTTCAGGATAGAACCTGTTTGATTGTTACAGAACAAAGTCTTCTTGAAATAATTGCATTGATATTCGATGCGTTACTATAATCCAATTATTTCACTTCCAGTGTGAATAAAGCTTTATAGAAACAAAATTTACGTAAAATCTTTTAATGCAATTATTAAAACAAAGTATTAATAATAATTGATTAAAATAGAAAATAAAATTAATAAGTAAATAAATATAATATATATTTTAATAATAAAAATCCCTACTAATATTATAAATGCGAATGTAACTCTGTCTGTCTGTCTGTTATGCTTTCACGCCTAAACCATTGAACTGATTTAAATGAAATTTGGTACAGATATAAAGTTGACTTTGAGAAAGAATACAGGATAGTTTTTATCCAAGAGTTTTGAAAGTTTCTCTTTGAATCGCGATATAACCGAACTCCACGCGGGCGAAGCTGCGGGCGGAAAGCTAGTTTATATATAATTATTATTATATACATGTTAATTAAAGCAATCTTGTGTTAACTAATTTTATATGAAATTTAAATATGTTTTCATTATAAATTAATAAATGTATCAGGAATACTCTTTACTCTTTTCCGTAGCAATTAAATTCAATCAAAACATTACCTCTGTTTTGTTATTGTATAATCTTTTTCTCATACAAACAATAGCACAATATGGTCGCTGTAACATTTCACACAACGCAATAGGTTTTTATTTTAACAATCTTTTGTATGCGTAGTACAAGTTTTCATTTTCAATCGACGACGCGTTTGCCGTTTTTCTTTCTATAACTTTAATATACACACCACTGAACCGATATTAAGCAAAGATAGATAAGCATCGCAAGGTAATTGACTTTGAAATGAAAGAAAAATGCAATTATTTGATACATTTAATAGTTATAATATAACAGACAGATAAACAGACGCATTGAGAAAGTCTATCTTATAATAACCCTCTTTTTACGTCCTTGCTTAAGAACATTTAAAACGCGGAACATCTAAAAACTTTCATTTTCTTGATATAAAAAGAAAGTTAGCTGAACGGGTTTACGTTTTTGGCTTAAAATTGGTGAAAAGATAGCTTAGAACAAGGGAAAGGACATAGGATACTTTTCATCCGATTGAAAAAGAAGAAATATAAATTGATTGATTCCAAAATCTCATTATCAACTGTCTTTAAGGTGAAACAGAGTTCGCCCGGTCATATACATTTCTAATTATGTAACGCAGACGAAGTTGCGGTCAAAAACTAGTAAGAAATATTTTTTTATGTATTTTCTTCTATACAATCCCAAACAGAAACAAAGTCACAATTATAAGCTCACACAAGCCATATATAAATCAAATAAACGGTGTATATTTCAAAGCTAAATTTGATTATGTGATTTCTCATATCTTGTGCGCTATAAGAAGTGTGGAAGCAAGCGGTAGACAGACAAACCATTACAATCCACTGTGTTATATTAAATAGAAATTGTTCTGATGTGTTAATAACATACAGAATGCGAATTAAATTTTGGATAAATTTGAAGAATTGCTAAGGCTACAGAGAGGTTTAAGAAACTTAAGACTAATTTACAAAATTATTTACATTTTTGAGCGTACGAAACTAGGTTCTTAAATCTTATCATACAAAATAACAAATATATTTAACGAGTAATACATCAAAACATAAATCAATACTTGGGTAGTTTTGTATATCAACATTCGTCACGACTAAATGTTCACAGACAAATTACAACTAGATGTGACATTCTACCGAGCAATTTCCCAGCTTTAGCCAGGGTCTGCCTTACATATATGTATATATTTTTTTATAGTTTTGGCTAATTGTTTTTACGACCGGCCGCCTGCCTGACATCAACCCTCTTTTGGGAATGCATTAATCAGTGATGTCTAAATATTCTTAGAAAGTACATATGATTCGGAAAAATCACATTGGTACTTGGCCGGGCCAGGATCGAACCCGCGCCCTCGAGCATGAGAGGCGGGCCTTTTAACCACTAGACCACCACTGACATTTTATTACATTACGAAAACAAAAACTTTTCAACATTTTATATCTTGTTTTATTTTTCTTAGATACATAGTTACATACTTTATTTATTTATTATTTCTCCGATGCTATGAATGTATTTGTATATTTTATGTTTTTGAATGGTTATAGTTATTTTTATTTATATATTTATTTGTTCGTTCATAGAAAACGTTTTCTATATACTTATACACTAGCTTTAGACTACGACTTCATATATGTTGGCTTTGGCATGTTCTTGAGTAGAAACTAATAATATTTAATGAAAATAATTGATATGATAACCCAGGCAACTACATAGAATAAATAAATAAATAAATAAATATATGTATATCTGTGTATGTGATTGTGTGTGTGTGTGTGGTAAACTTTCAATAGATTTCAGGAGTGTGCATCAAATATTAAAAAATAATATAATAAACAATTTTTTTTGCATTCATTATCAAGAATGTAAATTATTTGATATCATATAAACATTCACCTTACTTATATACTTTTATATGAATGAAATATCTCTAAAAAACTAAATAAATTATTAATATCACAAACAAATTTTCATATAGTAAATTATGTTCTTTATGAGCAAGCTGAGTTCTGGAATCGTAAATCAATAACTACTTTTATTTTCCAGCACAATGCTAGCACTACTTCTGCTATACATCTCAAAGGTTCAGCCTCAAGAGATTTCAACACCTGCCTCACTCCTGGGACCTGAACACTTCAATTATCACGCATACCGGCTTTCACCAGAAGACATTAACCCCACCAAGTAAGAAACTAAAAGAATTCATCATCATCATCAGCCTATCAGAGCCCACTGCTGAGCAAAGGCCTCTTCTCATAAGGAGAAGAATTAATTCATCACATTACTGTAAAGAATATACCGCACAAGATGTGTTTAACTAATTTCAAAGCTAAATTAATTCAGGTACACTCTATAAACATTCTATTTAAAAAAATTCGAGGTCGTGGTGGCCTAAAGGTTAAAGGCCCGCATCTCGTAAATGAGGGCGCGGGTTCGAAACCTGGCAAGTACCAACGTGATTTAACCGAGTCATATGTACTTTCTGAGAGTATATAGACACCACTTGAAACATCGTGAGGATACATGGACTTATATTTTCAAATTATAAGTTTGAAATCGCCAATCCGTCTTGAGCAAGCGTGGTGATTAATGCTCAAACCTTCTCCATGTGAGAAGAGGCCTTGTTCAGCAGTGGGCTCTGATAAGCTGATGATGATTTAAAAAAACTCTAAAATTTAATTGCGTACGTAGAAGTTGGAGTCATGGAGTTTTTATTAATTACCACATATTATCAAAGTTACTGAAATAAGTTTATTAAACTATATTTATTTTCTAACATAATAGAAATAGCATTGAAGTTATTAATGATTTATTCAAAAATATGAACATTATGACAGCATTACATTTTGATCTCTTTTCATAAATCTTTACAATATACATTAAGAGTTTCAAAATATTTTTTTAAACAATATAAAAACTTAAATATATATAACAAAAACCAACTATAGATATTCTTTTAAGCATATTTCGACATCAAAAAATATGTATTATAATAAAATTAATTCGCGGAATCCTAAAGAACTTGAATGATACCGCAAACACCGTTGAAATTGTTACCTAAATTATGAACCACCTGAACTACGAATAACTCCGTTAATTCTCTAATGAACTGAAAACCAGGAATTTCAGTCAGCAAATTACGCTGACTATATCCAGAGAAGCTAGAATAACAAATAGTTATATAAATGAGACCTCTCAAATGTCCGTGTAACTTTAATAGTTATTTTAAACAACAGTCGTTAGCTCGAACAGTTAAAAGTTACCTCTACTTATTGATAGTTTACTTTAGATCACCCATTATACGTTATCAATTAGTCGATCACAAAACATTTTCGTCTCAACCTAAATGACGATAGTTTTAGTTTATTCAAATACCCTAACAAACAAACTATGAGAACTGATATTAGGACTTTAGTAACAAAATAATATACAGTCTAAACCCTCCTACCGGATAAAAAGTGTAACTAAAGATTGTTAAGTTAATAAGAACACTCCCAAATAACTAAGTGATAAAAGGTGAGGTTGCAATAGATGCTTAAATTGGAATTATAATATTACATCTAATATTATAAAGTTGCTCCAATTTTAAGAAAATAATTATAAGTCCCTTATTTTTGTGCTTTGTGCATATTTTTTCTACTCTTAAGTCTTCTCAATAAAATGCTTACAGTGATATATGTCTCACATACAAACTATAGTTTTGGATGGACTATATTAATTATTAAATTTTACATTGTGCCAATTCCAGTTACTTTAGTCACTGTCATCAAGAATAGATGATACGAAAATGTCTTAAAGTAAAACATCATTATAAGTTTCGTAGTTTTTCCATAATCTTTCACTATTGAGAAACCTCTATATATAAGCCAATAATTTGCTTGTTATTTTCCAGGAAAGGTCCCGTATTATTTCCAAACGACTCCCCCCCTCCACCGCGTCCTCCGTTAGTGGTAACCTCTCGTCCAATCTTAGAATCTATAGCCAGAAGCGAGCTGAATCCTCTACCTCAAAACTCAACAGAAACAAAACAAAATGATAAGGATTTTGATGAGTCAGCATCCGATTCGAACATATCAAACAATCCGTATCAGAATTTCGTGGACGTGGATTCAATTGGATTGAATCCAGAAACTCAGGCGAGCTCATATTCTGTACCATACACTGGTGTATTGAGAAACAGATTCTATGACTATCCTGATACTAATAAAGGATACTATAATAAACAGGTATGAAAAAAACTATTTTTGTTTTGGTTATATTTAAGTAGATACGTTTCATTAACTAAAATAATACGAGTTAAAATTTTTATATTCTATCTGTTTGTTCCAAATGATCTTTTAAACTGCTACACCTATTTTGTCATTTATTTCATTTCAAGATAATTAAAATAATAAGAAAAAACATAGGCTATATTCATTGTTGATATTAAATATATATTTATTAATATATGTAGAAATATACACTATCCCATATAGTCTAAAAGTAGATGAACGATTGTTGATTGATTTTAGTCCACAAAATAAGACCAATAATGACTTCTGCATTTCGTAATATAATATATATACATGTATATATGCTATACATTAAAAATATTAATTAATTTTTCATATAAATATATGTTAAATCTCATAAATAGTAAATTGACTTATACATTACAAGCTACACACAATATGTTTCTAGTAGCCACTTGTAAGCTACAAAGACTCGCTAAGCTCTTGATAACTTCAAGCGATCTTGTGCTACTTGGATGTAGGACAGACTGCTCCCTTAAACATAATACATATATGTTATATATATACATATATATACATTTTTATGAAACATTTTTAATACGACAATCGTTGATTTGCAATATAATCCAATACATTTTTATCATTACCCTTTTTAGTCTATATATGTTGTTGAAATATATACAGGGTGACTGGTGAATTACTATCAATATTTAAGGAGCATACTCGGTACATGATTCTCATTCGAATTATGTAAAAAAATAGGTACTTAATTTTTAACCAAATTTCCGTATAAATAAATAAAGTGTGTACACGTTCCAAGTGTTCCAAGTGTGGACGCGTGCGGCGGCGTGCTGATACAACAACACGCCGCCGCCGTGTGTGTGTGTGTGTGTATACCTAATCTGTAGGGTGTTCATACGATGCGTAATTAATTACATAACTTTTGGTTGACTTTACTTAGAAGTTTATTAATATTTATGTTATATTAATTTTTATTTTGTCATTTATGATCGTCAAATATCACGTCCTCAAATATCGATAGTAATTCACCAGTCACCCTGTATATATATATATATGTATATGTGTGTGTGTGTGTGTGTATGTGTGTGTATATGTATGTACATATCAACACTGTAATGAATGATTTTTAACAAATCAATCGTTAATTTGAAATATAATCCAACAATATTTTTTATTACCTCATAAATCTTTTAAGTCAATATATTTTTTTAAAATTTACCCTTCATCCCTCCAATATAAATCTATACTATATAATGAGTTTGTTAATGTATTTAAAAACATTGTTAAAGAGTATTACGTTGCCACCGATTTACAAGGCAATATCGGACAACGCGGACCGTGAACTCGTAAAGTTACGACAGAAACCGATCCGATTTAACACACAGGTGATTATATGTTACATTTAAAATGTTCTTAATAACATTCATTAAATAAATGTAAATAATTTATTACATTTGTTTTTTTATAACTTCATTTTTTATTATTTGTCGATTACATTTATATATGTAACTTTAATTTTATAAACATTTTTGGTATCTCAAAATGAATTTACTATTTTGAATGTAATTTCAAATTATTGCCCACTAATCTCATTTGTTAAAGAGTTGTGGGTTTAAACGAGTTATTGTTATTTCTGGTAAATACCTCTTATATTATGGTTCAAATGTTAATGTATTTTCTATAATTTTTTATGTTTTAAATTTCAGGAAAACGATTATGATAATTATGATGACAAACAAAGCCAAGAAGAGGTAATAATATATTTAATTACTTTATATTTTATTTTATATACTCGTACATAATTATGTTAAAACCATCTTTAAGCAAATTGTGATAGATTTATATCTCACTTCCCTTTTATTCTGTAATAAATTTGTTCAATACTATTTATTTATAAATACTTAGATCAAATTAATGACAAATCTCTCTAAAAAGGAATAAATATTCATAAATTGATATGCAATACTAAAAATATATACAATAAAAAGGTCGTTGTGACCTAGAGGTTAAAGGCCTGCTTCTGGTGCATGAGGGCTCGGGTTCGATACCTGGCAAGTACCAATGTGATTTTTTCGAGTCATATGTACTTTCTGAGAGTATTTAGACATCACTAATAGAAGGTAAAGGAAAACATCGTGAGAAAAATAAGACGAATAATTTCAAATTATAAATTTGAAATCAAAAACCCGTCTTGAGCAAGCATGGTGATTAATGCTCAAATGTTCTCATGTGAGAAGAGGCCTTGCTCAGCAGTGGGCACTGATAGGCTGATTATGATGACTAAACGTTACTAATTCTTTGCAGAATAACTACGCGTTCTCATACAGAGTGAACGATCATATAACTGGTGATGATTTCTCACATTCACAAAGATCTAGTGGTTCAGCGACCAGTGGCGAGTACAGAGTTAAACTTCCCGATGGTAGAACTCAGATAGTGTCTTACACAGCCGATGAGAATGGATACAAAGCTGATGTGAGATATGAAGAAGAAATACAAACACACAAACAACAAGACAATTTGAATTATATACAAAAACAGAAACAAATAGATTACTCATCAAACAATTACTACGATACTAACACAAATTACAAATACAATCCGAAATACCAACAAAATTCGTATACATCCGACACAAATGACTATCCAGATGATTTCCAATACGAATCCAACAATCCGTACCACAGCAAATTTTCTATTTACGACCCAAAGTTTTCAACAATCCGTCCTATAACTACGAATGAATTAACCGATTCAGTGAAATTCGAATCCAGTACGAAATCTGTTTATGTTGCAAATGAAAATATCTACACGACTGTAAAACCATCTCTTCAAACTCTTGCCATCTCTCAATCTCCAATTCCAACATTATCTCCAATTCCAACACTATCTATTATTCCAACTATATCTACAATTCCAACCCAATCTACAATTCCAACTCTCTCTCCTTCATCATATCTCGCATCAACTATAGCCAACTTGAAGAACAGAATCGCATCCAAGCCAATATTATCCAAAAGCTTTATAGATAGAATCAACAGATATATAACTTTTTAATGAAAATATGAGACTGTAATAATTATTTATTAATTTTGTATCCATAATAAATATGTAGTGTCCTATTTATTTTTTTATTTAATTTATTTATTCATTTTAAATAATATATTTATTTATTCATTTCAATATCTATTTGACGTTCTAAACGTTTGTTATGTAACGTAAGCGATGTTATATCAGCTTGTAGCGCCGCCCGGAGTCTCTCGTGGTCTTCATCAGCGAGTCTCCTTGCTCGCTCGGCCGCCTCACTGGCCGCTGCCTCTGCAGTCACTAGCTTATTCTGCAACGAGGCTAACTTCTCTGCCGATTTGTAAGTTGCGAGATCTATTGCCGTGAGATAATGCGATGTACTGAATCCACCAGAATGAATGTCTTCCTCCTCTGGTGCCATATATGAATAACCAACGAAAGGTAGCTGTCCAGCGAAAGGCGGGCGGGTTCTGAAGGGCGCTGTTGAAGGAGGTGATGGAACACGTCCAGGCGCCGGTAGATATGTAGTGTCCTCTGCACCACGAAGATGTGGAACCCAAGGTGGAGCCTGATCTCTTATACACGTAATAGTCCCGCCACTAGTGACCGCCATGATGATGAAAGGCTGTGAGGCGGCGGCTCGAAAGGAGGCTCGGAATTTGGAGCTCTCTCATATTTCTGTATGTAATTAAATATCTGAGCCATTGAATCGTTGTCGCTGTTCGAGAATGGTCTTTTGAGAGTCACCAGTTCGAAAGCGACTACACCCAGTGACCAGTAACCACAAGCTGAAATGGCAGTGTTAACCCGGCGGCAGAGACACATAGTGTGAGCGGTTGTGCAGTCACTGGACAATAACTCCGGAGCCCCATAGTCAGCTGTGCCGCCGACTACACACCCGCCCTCCGAAAGATGAGCAAACGAACCGAAATCAACGAGCTTCACGTGACCACCTCTGTCCAAAAAAATATTCTGTGGCTTGATGTCTCTGTGAATATATCCCATACCATGAAGAGCTTTTAGTGCATGAGCATCTTCTGCTATATAAAATGCTGCATCACGTTCTGACAGGGGATGGTTTTGACGTGAAAGCAGACCAGCCAAGTCACCTCCATTACATAGTTCCATCACCAGATATAACTTGTTACTGTCCTGAAAAGCATACTGTAGTTTTGGTATCCAATTGCTGGATGCAGTTGCAAGAATGTTTCTTTCATCCTCAGCCCCAACAACTCTCTTCCTCACTTCTTCTTTAGGGACACTTTTTAATGCATATACATCAGCTTTTTGTTTTACACGTACCATATGTACTTCACCATAATGCCCGTGACCTATAAGTTGTATAATTTCAAAGTTCGAAATGCAAACTCGGGCCCTCCGCAATTCGGCCAGAGCACTGCGATATTTTTCAACGAATGTTCGTAAAAGTTCGTGACATTTTTTAATAGGGTCCTCGTTACACTCATCATACAAAACAGTAAAGGCATCTAACAAAGATTCCCTATCAATTTTTTTTGCCAAGCTTATTAGTTCCCTTGGTCACTTTATTATTTTTCGGTTTAATCTTGTAATACGAACAGCATGCTCCCTTAGTAGGCTTCATTTTGATATATGTTTCCGATACTTATTTAAACACGAATCATTTATCATATTCCTTTAATTTGTATTATTTTTTATTTTGAGATACAACACTCGGGTCAACAGCTAACAACCGTGTATTTCTTCCTTTTTTTTTGGTTATGTTCTGTTCAGAACAGGCAAAGAGTCCAATCCACATCCACATCTGGATATCCACGATACTACACGCTGATTGACACATCTCCTGATAACATTCCCATTCCGGTTCTCAATTTGCAGCAACAGTCCAACTCCATCCCTGAAAACCTTTCGCCAAAGCAGGATTCCCAGGCTCAGGAGGACGTCAGACGAACGCGTTCAGGCCGCAAAGTACACTTTCCTGATTTTTATCGCCCGTCGTGACGGTCTCGGGGGGGAGTGATGTAGCATCCTATTCATTTTATTCATTTATTTATTTAATTTATTTATTCATTTCAATATCTATTTATTTATTTACATTTAAATATATATATATATATATATATATATATATATATATATATATATATATATATATATATATGCATTGGAAACACACTACCGGCCCGTCTACTCATTTTTATAGTTATGATTGTAAGACCGCTCGGTTTGACCGCTGTCCGGCCAGAGGTCAGAGCGGCCGTCCGGTCGCGATGGTGTACGTGACTAGTTGGTCGACCGGTAACGGCAGTTAACAGCTGAGCATTTTAATCCTTAATATTTTAAAATATCTATTCGCCAATTAATTATAGTTTGTGTTACTCTCTTCCTATTCTCCTTCTTCGTACTTAAACTTACTTTTTGTGAACTGTTATATGTATTATATATTGTGTTATTGATAATTGTGTTGTGAGTTAAGATACAATAAACGGATATCAGGAATCACATCTCTTTTCACTATAAATATATGTATAATAACTGATTATATTTATTTTTTTATATATAATTCTCCTGTACGTATATATATCACTGAACTCTTATTAAACGGCTGGACCGATTTTAATGATATTCCTTTACATTCACAAATAGCCCGGCAGATGGCGCTACAGTCGATGTCTAGGTTATTCAAAATGAAAAGGAAACTACATAGGTTACTATATGTATGTAATTTATTAACACACTGTACAGTATACATATCTCTCTCTGCACTATTCTCTGTTCACACGGACAGAGTTGCGGGCAAATCTAGTATACACATATATATATAGCAGGAGGTGTCCGTGTGTAATCTTCAAGCTCAGTTATTCATAGTTCACGTTCGTGTTTTGCAAGACGTCTGCCAACCAGTGTGATCTACAACTATGTGTAACTCTGAATACAAGCTTACACCGATCTGTTATGACTTGTTAAACGTTTCGTATTAAATAATTGTATATATTTAATAGTAATTAACATTATATATTGATAGTTGTATCGAAATATTTACCTTTAAGAAGTTATATTATTATTTATATATATTAAAAATTAAATTTAAGTGAACATTTGTAATCTCAAATAAAGAACTACAATACCTATAAAGAACGACTGGTCTGATTTGAAAGAAATTTCCAATAAGATTAATATTTTCATTAAAATAAATTTAAGCAATTTTTTTATCTACTTGAAAAAGGAGGAAGTTGTCAATTTGTTTATATTAATGTTACGTTTTTATACATCAATTAAAGGTCCCTTTTTCAAAATGACTGCTTAATCATATATGTTCTGAAACAATTCTATTATCTACAAGTAGAGATTTGATTAAGAGATTCAAGATATCGAATGAAATTTCATTACAATTATAACGCGTAATGAATATAAGAGAAAGCAGCAAAAACTAATATAAAATAATCATAGTAGGTATTGACTTTTAAGATGACATATTTAAAATAAAAATGAAAGCGAACAAAGTCTTTATAAGAATACAGAAATAAGAAATAATATATGCCCAAGATAAGGGAAAAAATAATTATTATATGTCATGCGTCGAAAACGTTTTTGTTACAACTCGAAATTGTTTGTTAATATTAGGAGTTAAATTATATAGAAACATAATATTTAAAAGAATTTCACTATACCCAAAATCGATTTCACAAATGCAAATTGTAGTAATTTAGGTCAAATTATTTACTAATCAGTAGTCATCATCATTAGTCTATCAGAGACCACTGCTGAGTAAAGGCCTCTTCTCACATGGAGAAGGTTTACTAATTAGTCAATAGGCTAGACTGTAAAATAAAAAGGGCATTGTATATGAAAAATCTTACTTAATATTAACGCTGTATATAAAAAATATAATCATTGTTAATACAGGGTTTGTAAAAAAGTTAGCTTGAGACTTGTAGTGATGCTGCAATCTTTGGATCTCAATTGTCCTTGACTGTTTATAAGCTACATGCGAGGAGCTCTCATCTAAAAAGATCAGTCTTAACTCTTAAGCGAGCATCAGTCTTATGAGAGACATTTAATTCTTAAAGATTCTTCGTCATTTTTAATATTATTGTATTAAATATTTATTTAACAAAGTAAGTTAGTACATTAATTTGTTTTTTTATTATCATAATATATAGTTTCCTTTTAGTTTCCTTTGGATTATATTATTATATAAATGTTTGACTGTAATTTTTTTGAGGTGTTGTGGAAAATTTATCAGATTTTTTTACAAATTCAACAACAGAGGAATCTAGACAAATAAATATTGTGTGTAATATTAGGTGTAATTATATAATTTTTTGCCTGTGTTTGCTTAGTCCTTGAAAAATCTTGATTGACACGTTTTAACAGGACCCTTATTGACAACAATAACATAGATTTATAGTATTTTAATTGTAGATTTTCATATATTTCATATATAATTATATAAAGTAAAATAATTATTTACACGAACACAAAGGTACAGATACGATACGAGAACGAAGGTTACGATACAGCTAGTTTGAATTAAAATCCAATTATAATTTTAACAATTAAGGCAACTGAATTGAAATACATAATTGTTTAAATTCATTCACTTAAAAAAAGTATATTTGACATCATAATATAGCCAGATAATATAGCCAGAACAAGAGCAATAGCAGTATTATTTTCACTAAAATAATATATAAATATATGATTTCCTATATAAATTGACATTGCAAGCTAATATTATCGAGATCGGTTAGACTCTGAGAAAATAACCAGAGTCTAACTCAGAGTCTAACCGATCTCGAGACACTTCAATGGAAACCGAATGGTCAGCTTTACTGTAGAGCTCTCGTCAACCTAATGTAGCTCTCAAAAATGTTGACTCTCAGGAAAAGATCTGGTTATATTTAGCTTTTAACAAAAGAATTGGGTTATGGCTTCAAGATGGCCTAAGACGTTCTTCGTGGGACGTGTGCGTGGTTTTATTATACCGTACAAGTTTTATTTATTAGTTCTAAGATATTGTATAATATTTACATTACTTTGAGACAAAAATTTATTTATATTGAACATAATTATTTTGGGAATAGTGATTATAATGTTTTTAATTAAAATGACTTACTATTATTGACAATTATAAATTTATCTATCTGTTAATTGTAACCACAACCTTGTCAACTTGGATTTTTAACTTATTAAATTGATCACATTTCTAAAATAAAAATAGCCTCCGTAAAGCTAATTACAAGATGTATCTTTTGGTAAAAGTCTCTGCAGATTGGATATATCTGTTTTATAATATAGACGGTACAGAAAATAATAGTTAATTTTGATAAATATATGTAACTAGCTTTCCGCCCGCAGCTTCGCCCGCGTGGAGTTCGGTTCTATCGCGTTTCCAAAAGAACCTTTCAAACGTCTGGGATAAAAACTATCCTATGTTCTTTCTCAAGGTCAACTCTATGTCTGTACCAAATTTCATTAAAATCAGTTCCGTGGTTTAGGCGTGAAAGCGTAACAAACAGACAGACAGAATTACTTTCGCTTTTATAATATTAGTAGGGATTAAAACCTTTTTTTTTCAACATTACCAACAAACACACATTTTTTTATTTTTATATATGCAATTGAATAAAAATCTATTTATTTAATAAATAAACTTCAATTCATATAGTTTGTATCAAATATTTTATAAATCTAACAAAGAATTCTATTCATACAAAGTCTATTCTCAACTATTAAGAAATTTCTAAGTCTCATAACATCTAGATGCTTTCATACAATGAAACTCTAAGATAACTTTTAATAACTCATTCAATATATGATGTTTTTTAATAATTCCCTAACCCAGTTAAATATTATGAATAATTTCCGATGGAAGTTCTCTAGGAAGGCTTGTTACGGTCCTCATTGTGAACGCGGGACCCAAAAGAATTGCAAGTCTATAGATAAGGCGATGCGGTGCATCGGCTGTAGATTTTTGCTAACGATTCTACGAGTGACGTGAGTTTTTATACTATCGATAATTGGATAATTTACGATCCATTTAAGTTCGATGCTAATATTTTCTTAATTTTTTGGACTATAATAATAATTTTTGTAAATTTTATGACTGTGTACGAATAAATACTTATATGTTATGTTGCCTAAAAAGAAATATACTACTATATGTTCTACCAAAAAAACAGAAATCTTCAATTCTTATTATTTTACATCACACCATATAACCACTACTTCTTCCAGAGAACCAAGAATGGGACAGAATATTAGTAAAACAAAAAGGTTTGCCGTAATAATCTTCTATACAAGAACAATCTTTTTCGTACGATACAAACTGATTCATTTCCTCTTGATCTCAAGAAGTAGTTCCTATCCATCGTCACATTTTATCGATAATCATCCCATCACTAGTCCGTGTACTGCTGACTCCACTGGCGAAGAGCCAGCTACAATATGTACTGATCGATTTGAACAATTTATTGGCTCCATTGGTTTCTTGACTCTTTATAACACAATCTGTTATAACGGGATATCTTTTAAACAAT